AACGAGAAAGTGTTCGAAAATCCATTTCTCCTTGAACAAATCCTCAGTCATGCTCTATCGGATATTGTTGCGGATTTTAATTATCGGGTGAGTCACAAAAATATTTTTTTTCAAATTTCAAAAAAAAATTATTTTCAGCTGATTAACAAGAAATTCAATAACGCATTTCTTGTGGTTTTACGAAAAGAATATCGTAGTATGGATATAAAATTTGGAGCAATGGAAGGAGAAAATGTCGAGTTTTATTTCAATGGACGAGAGTTAGTCAACTCCAGAATATCGCAGTTTTTTCGGTAGGTGCAATTTCATCAAATTTTTTATTGTATAAAAAATATTTTTTCTGTAGATTTCTAAACAAAGTGGCCAGTGTGAGGGTGGAGAACTTGACAGTGAGAAAAATGAAAGTTAGAGATTTTAACGTCTGGAAGGCACTTCACGATGCAATTCATTTGGAACTGATTGGAGAACATCGACAGAGTATCCGGAAGTTTGTTGGCGTCGAAAGGTTATGTAAAGATTGTGAGGATTGTTTGGCTATTGCAAAGATTGCCGAGGAGTATGGTCCAATCAAGTTGAGAAATTTGAGAAGATTGGAGAAAGTAGAGCACCCGAGAAAACTCATTATTACATCTCAGTGAGTTGGAAAAAAATTTGAAAAAAAACTTCACGATATTTCAGATTATTGGATCATATTGCAATAGAGTGTGTTTCAAACTTTGTGTCAAAAGAGGAATGTTTCGAACGACTAGACAACATTATCAAACCAGATCTGTCTCGTGACACACTTATCCTTTGGCTGTCCGAGTCACAGAAAAAAAGAGGGAACACCGGTCTCAGAAATCATTTCCATATTCCACTGGAGATATTGGAGATGTTAATTCGGAAATGGTGTATTAAGCATCTTCGAATTCATTTTGTCTTCGAAGGATATAATACAATACATATGGACTATTGGATGGATACAGAATATTTTACGGCATTTCGATTCAATGATCGAGAGGATTTTGTTGTTAGAGTAAGCAACCTCTTTTCTTCTGTTGAATTCATGCCAGGAACCGTGTCGCTAGCTGCGTTTTGGGCCGATTGTTTGAAGTGCCTAGCTGTCTGGTGCTCACTCGCTCTATAATTCCTGCTAGCGAGGACACAGCTGTCTTTCACGCTTAAAAGAGGACTGGATTCACAATTTTTTATTTTCGATTCCGGTTGATTAGAACATTCTGCACATTTTTTCTTCGTGAAGCATATGTTGAAATTAGCTCTGGAAAGAGACATACCGCTTCAAAATACACGAAAACCTCTTTGGTGGCCGAAGTTTCTCCACTACGTGGCCGTACGTGGAATTTTTTACTGGTTTTTTTCACTAATTTGCCATGCCCAAACCCATTTTCAATAGTTGGGCAGAGATTCACCTAAACCTTGTTCTTAAAGGAGGCCGAAAGGGAAAAAAATAAGTTTGTCTTAAAAGATAGGCCTGCTCTAGGATAGTACAACCCACCATATAAGACAGTCCATCTCGGTCCAGTTTTCTCAAAATTTGAGTTTAAAAATTAATTTCCATGTATAGCTATACGTTCTGAAATTCTACAAAATATTCTACAAACTGAATCCATGTATAGGGATACGTTGAAATTTTTTTTTGCGTTTTCTGGAGTTTGGATTTAAGCGATCTGCTGATTGTTTAGTGTATGTGGGTAGTCTACTCAAGGGTTCCGCTTTCTTTTAAATTAATAAAAACATATGGTCAAATTTCCCTTTCGTCCTCCTTTAAATGATACACTTTGAATATTTGAGCTCCCGCCAAAAGTATTGAGTTTTCGAATTCCCGCCAAAATATTTTGGATTTTGGATTTTCCCGCCAAAAGTTTTGAAACTTTGAATTCCCGCCAAAAAATTATGCATTGACGTTTTTGGAAATTAATAGAAGTTTCCGGAAGGGGAGAGAATGTTCTGGAATGATATTCTTCTAGAGCTTGCCAGGGGAGTTTTCGAAATGCTGTAACTACCGTAATCCTACAGTGATCTTTACCATTTTTAACTTGTAAACTATCGGGGTCCCATAGGTACGACATTCAAAATACTGGTCAAATATGAGCACTCTGAACCCGTTTTCTAGCTATTGTAGCGTTATCTGGTTATTGTAGCTACCGTATCCGCACAGTAATCCAAGCTCCAATCGTTATAGAATTGAAGCGCTCGGTGACCCATGAGCACATGCCAAGTATGGTACCAAACGATCCAGGGGCTCAAAAGTTATTCAGTGATAAGTGCGGTACAGACTAACACACAGACAGATCTATTCCTTTAGTATATAGAAGAGGTTTCGGCCACCAAAGAGGATTTCGTGTATTTTGAAGCGGTATGTCTCTTTCCAGAGCTAATTTCAACACATATACGAAGAAAAAATGTACAGAATGTGCTAATCTACCGGAATCGAGAATAAAAATTGACCGGTGTTATATAAAAGGTTTCTAATTGAAAACAATAATGAAATACTTCCAGGAACCCCGAATGAAACTTGACTCCATTGAAGTGGATTTAATCGATTCTTTTTATTGCCGAAGAGACTTCGCGCGTGTCTCGGCGGCTGGCGATAGAGGATACTCTAATTTGCTAGTGAATATTCAGAAAGTATTCTCAACAAACTTGATTTCCATCAAGAATTTATTCAAATCTTCATTAGAACTGCCAGAAGTACATATAGCGTTCCGAAGAATTTTGAAAATTCTCAGTAAATCTGGAAGAATTCAAATTGATTGCAAAGAGCCAGTTTTAACCGTCAATTTTGAACATCTAATTCTAATTCCTGATTTTTTGGAATTTTCCTCCAATGCTGAACAGGGAAATGTGACCTATTTCGATGTTCCTGAGGAGTTTTCTAATTCTAAATCACCGTCATTTTTCGTGTCCAGGCGTCCACCATTAGAACCTATATACTCCCCAAAAGGAGTCATGAATATGAAGTTTATCGGTAAAAAGTATGTAATTGAGCATAATGGAGTTGTTTTCAATTTGGGAATATTCTTGAATGAGACTGCTGTCAATCAAGAGACAACCAACAGGAATGTCAAGGAGTTTTTGAACTTTTTTGTGTGATTTTAATATTTTTTTCCCAGCTGGTTTGTTATTGTTATATTAAAATGAAGGTATTTTCTTAATGTTGGAATTCAATTTTCATACATTTTCAACTGATTGTAGGGTGGACGAAAAGCCGACAAAGCTTTTTTTATAAGCCAACAAAAAAGATTATTTTCTGAACTATTGAATTGAAAATAAGGCGTTGAAAACCATTCTAAAATTAAGAAAAAGGCGCTAGAAACTGGAGGGGAGGAGGAGGCGTCCTTGACCTTCTGTCACGTGAATAAAAAACTGGAACAAAAACGTGAACACTCGGTGCCCCAATTTGCAGTCTTTTCCACGTCATCCAGCGCCACGTGTCACTTTTTTCCCGTCAGTTGTCATCAAAACTATATTTTATTTCACTCCCAATTCTCCCTATTCTTCCCCGAATACAATTCACGAAGAAGAGGATGGTTGGCTGGAACGATTTACCGGTGAAGAGCAAGAAGGAGGTGGTTAAGCGTCTGGATTTTATGAGCAGGTATCTTTTTGGCCTAAAAAGTTCCCTTTAAACGCTATCAAGTGGTTAACTAGTGAATTGCTCAGAATAAAATTTAGCGCATTTCCCCCTCTTCCCTTAAATCGCGATTGCTCCGCCGTGGAAATTTCTTGTCAAAAATTATTACACTTTTTGCAATTTTCCAACTTTGAGATTCTCCAGAATTGCCAGTTTTCGAGTTTTTGATCTGAACTTTTTGGGGTGCACTGGAAACCGCTTCGGGTTTCTGGTGCGGCTTTCGGTTGGACGATCTGACCACTCTGGACCCAGATATTTCAAGGAAAGTGGGACTCAAAAAATGTAAAAATTTTGGAGTACTGAAAAAATCGCGAAATTCTTTTAATATTATTTTTCATCCATTCAGTTTTTGAGGTTCTGATGTGAAAACTGGGGAGCATGTTGAGCTTCAGGGAAGCTATCGATTGAACAAAAAACGGACTGAATCGAGAACAAATGAAGAATGTAGGCCATAAAACAAAAATCGAAATTTTACAAAAAACAGAGTTTTTCAATTCTTTCTGCCAATTATTGCGTTGACCTCAGGTCAAATTTGCTCCTCTCTCTCCCTTTTGAGAAAAAAATGAACAATTTTAGCGTGTTTCATTTTCAAAAAAACTATTTGGAAAATTTCAAAACAGCACCGCAGGTCCTCAACTGATGTCTAGTCTCTAGCCTCTGAAATTCCAGATGCTCGATGAGAAGCACCTGTCGTGCGGATCGTAAAATCGTCGACTCGACCGAATTGTACATTCCACGTCTTCGTGTTTCATTCTTGGAGGGCTTCACACAGGCGACAATCTACACTGACATCGGACAGTTTTTGAAGGTGGTGTTTAAGGAGAAGAAGGACGAGGAGATAGCGGCGTACGTGTACAGGTGAGTAGAAAGACTACAAACTACAAAGGAGAAAAAAAGTAAAAAAAAAAAGTGCCTTGGTGGGGGTCGAACCAGAGACCCCAGGATTGATAGTCATCCGCGCACCCGGCTGCGCCACCAAGGCAACGAAACGAGAGAGGTGGTAGGGAGATCACAAGAGAGAAAGAGAGAAAGAGAGAGAGAGAGAGAGAGAGAGAGAGAGAGAGAGAGAGAAAGGAGAGAGGAGAGAGAGAGAGACAGAGAGAGAGAGAGAGAGAGAGAGAGACAGAAAAAGAGAGAGAGACAGAAAAAGAGAGAGAGACAGAAAAAGAGAGAGAGACAGAAAAAGAGAGAGACAGAAAAAGAGTGAGAGAGAGAGAGAGAGAGAGAGAGAGAGAGAGAGAGAGAGAGAGAGAGAGAGAGAGATAGAGATAGAGAGAGAGGTGCCCAGCGCGCGCACAAAGACTACAAACTACTATATTTTCAGAATGGAGAACGAGGTCAAAATCACCAACACCACTGCTGCCAGACGTATCAAAGGAATCAGGGCCTCCCGACTCTTCGGCGTCTTCCTCCGCCACCAATTCATCCGTCCAAACGTTCTTATCGGAACTTTGGAATTCGAATTCCATCCAACGGATCACACCACCCAAACCTTCTGCATTTGCCTTCTAATGCGCTCTTTCGGAGTAGGAAAAGTGTTCCGCGCCAAAAAGTTGGCCACCAATTGCCTCACGAAAAAGTTGACCGAGATCTATTTGTACAACAATCTCATCGACAAGACTATCTTGGAGGGAATTTATAATGATGGAGTTGTGCTCTCGGAGGATTCCGTTTATCCCCAAAAGTATATCGACACCACTGTTTTTCCTGATCCGAAATTGGATGTTTTCAAGGGGGTCGAGGCCAGCAATCCGAATAAGATTGTGGAAATCGATTTGGAGCCGGTTCAAAAGTTCGTTAATGTTCCACATTGTAAGTTAGAAGTGAGAAGAGAAAGAAAAAAAAGAAAAAAAAGGTATTGGCCTAGGCGGGGGTCGAACCAAAAACCTCCAGATCAACTGACAAGCGCGTCACCGGTTGCGCCATCTGTGCACCGATGCGAAAGAGGTGGTAGGGCATAGAGAAGAGAGGGAGGAGGGGGAAGAGCGCAAGACTACAAACTACAAAAATCAATTTCCAGGCGAATCCTTCATCTACACGACCGAATACCGGGTGGGTGCACCAATCACCGTGAAAACGAGAGCTGAGGAAACGGAAGGATTCGTCACTTGCCGATTTGGCGAGACCAACTTTCTCCTATGGGAACATCAACACCTTCCAGTTGTACAGTGAGTGCCCCAGGGTTGCAACCGGCCCGGCCCGGCTGGAAGCCCCGGCCAGCCCGGCCCGGCCGGCTCGGCCCGTTCGGCCCGGAAAATTACCGCGAGTTTCGAAAAATCGAAAAAATATACCCTAATTTTGTGCTCAAGGGGTACATTTGATTTTGGCAACAATAAACTATTACAGAGAAAGTTTTCGGTCGAAAAATGTTGAAATTCAGAGAAAAAATTCAAAAATTTTCAAAAAAAAATTTTGAAATTTTTGAATCCGGGCCGGCCGGGCCGGGCCGGCCCGCCGGCCAGCCCGTCAGATTGCAACCCTGGAGTGCCCCCCTGGAACTACAGTACCACTTGTATTACTGTACATTTTAGGCTCGATGAGCACGTCCAAATGAAGCGAATCGCCTCGCCTGAGCTTGGTTGTGTTTACCGTTGGAATAAGTCAAAGTGCGGAGAATGGATGCATGCGATGAAAATTGAGAATGAGCACAAGTTTGAAGAGTTTTTCAAGGTACGTGCGCTAGAAAGAGACACAGACACCGAGAGTGTCTAGCTGTCTGCGTCTCTCATTTCTTTTTTCCAGAACGAAAAATGCGGACTCCTTTGGCTCTGCAAATCGTGCACCGATCCATTTGACTACTGGTACTACCGTAATCTCCCGAAACGCGTTCTCGACGAGAAACCAACCTACATCGTTATGAACTACACTATGGAAGGAGAACATGGCGATATGGTTCGAGAGGAGGTGAAACTTTATCAGGAGAAGTACAAGGACGAGAAACTTAAGAAGAGCAAGGGCAAGGCATCATGGGGATTCAAAAAGCGGGAGGTAATTGTGCTCCAATGGGTCTATCAATGAAGATAGAGGAAAATTGTCAACTACAAAGTTGTAGAGCATAATATTTCAAGCAATTTTGTAGTTGACCATTTTTTTCTAGCTGTTATAAGCAGCGAGATATAGTGTGTCAAAGTGAGAGAAGGAGAGACACAGAGAGTCTCTGCGTGTCTGCGTCTCCTCCATTTCTCAACCAAGATATTCAACAATTACAGGGTCGCATCCGCACCTCCAACGTTCGTTTCCGTCATCCGGTCGACTTTGAGGACGGCGATTTGATGGAGAAGAAGGGAGCAGCGATGGGTTTCGAGCGTGATGCCAATTTTGTCATCAAAACGTTCTGGTGTGTGAAACCGAAAGATATGGAACCCGTACGTTTTATATTTTGTACTTTGTAGTCTATAGTTAACTTTTATAGAATGACGTCATTCTCGGTGCTCCCGTATTCAACGAGAGTAAAGCCATGAAAGAGAAACCTGGACTTTTCTCCAGAATCAACAAGGCAATGGGCAGTTGGTCACCATTTGGACAAGCTGAGGAGGTAAATCGATGAAAATAGAAAAAAACAAAAAGGTTTTCATCCATGAGGAATTGAACCCGGG